AAAAAAGAAAGAAAAAAAATCACCTTTCAAAATGAGCCAGGAAGAACTGGTGTGGACAATGTACCATTGCCCACAGCCCATGCTACCGTCTGGCTCCCCTGAACCCTGCAGTCCTGCAGAGCTGGGATGCATCCAGGACTCTCCCCCACTGGAAGGCAGTGAGGTCTGGCTCCCAGACACCGTTCTTCCTGTTGTACTCCTACAGGCCAGCTGCTCTATGACTGCTCAAGTGGTTTCGTTTTTGTTATCCAGGAAACATCCATCTTTGTTAGAAATAAAATGACAAACTAAAGGAGCTACTTATTTGTTCCAATATGGTTATGTTTTTTTCCCTCATTTTCTGGTGCCATACTGAGGATAATGAGATTTATCTATGAAGAACATAGAAAAGCAGTGCCTTTCTCTCTCCATGTGCTTTGGTAGATAAAGGCTGGGAACCACTGATGTAATGCTCTGAATGATAAACATGGTGGTGGATGGTAAGTGTGAAAAAATACAACAGCTGATACAAATAGAAATACAATCCTTATTTAACCTTTGGAAAAGCATCATATATCACCTGCATTTCATGCAAACAGATCTCAATTTAAGACCGCAACAGAATGATGAGTTTTCCTTTGGTCTGACAGATTTTCATAGAAATGCCTCTGCTAACCATAGAATTATGAAAATGCTTGGGTTGGGAGGGACCTGTAAGATCATCTAGCTCCAACCCTGTGCTGTGGGTAGGGATGCCTCCCACCAGCTTAGGCTGTGCAGGACCCCATCCAATCTGGCCTTTAATGCCTCCAGGGATGGGGCTTCTCTGGGCAGCTGTGCCGGTGCCTCACCACTCTCTGATAAAAAACAAAATCCAGGAGTAGAAAGTGCTTTCTCCTATGCAAATGTTCTTGATAGATGAATCTGCTAATAATTCTCGATGAAAAGTCACAAGGTGGGTATAGAACACGGATCAGTAAACTGTTACAGCACTTTGTTTACAAAGCTGTAATAAATATCTCTGATAAAGCCATGATAGAGAAGAGGCTGCTGCTTGTAACTCAGAAATTTAAGGTTTTATTTGCTGCTATCTAGAAAACTTGATTCTTCATTGGTTAAATAAGATATATTAGCAGTAAAATACAAGTTAACTTTTACTGTTATATGTGTGTTTTAAATCATTTGTATGGAAACATTAGTTTGTTGGCTAGTGTTAAAGAAGGTGCCTTGTAATTCTAGAAGATTATGATGAGAGTGATATGAGTGATACCTAGGACTATTAAAATGATAACACCATCTGTTAGCTGGTTAATTAAGTAAAAATCTTAGTTGGAGAGTGAAAGATTTCAATCACTCTCCATAAGAAATGTTTCAGTATTCAGAAATATCCAAACAAATCTAAAGGTTTAATAGCAAGGTTTCAGCTGTAAAATGGCTGAATGGGTTCAGTGGCTGGAACAGAACATGGAAATCAGTCTGAAAATCAATTACTCAAATTCTGTGCCTCTGTTATTCATCTTCAGTGGACAACAAAAAAATAAAGTCAAGAAGCCTAAAATTAATAGAGCAAATTGCAGGCTGTAGAATGCTTTCTTCTCTTGACTAGAAGATATAATCACATGTATTCATGAAATTGCTTCAGAAAAATATACTTTTTAAATATATGATACTACTTAGTCCAGATGATATGTGTGTCTACCAACTGCTTGGCGTGCAGGCACAAACTCATGTATCAAACAAAGCCAGGATCCCAATACAACACACTGTTTTAAATTTGTTAATATGAGATGTGTTTTTTTAATATTATTTGCCATAATCTAAAAATAGTTAACATTTTGGGAAAGCTATTACCTACCAGCTCTTCGATGTCATGGCTGAGTATGTTCTCATACTTGACACGGATCTCAGTTGTTTTATTTCCCATTGTACAGCTAGATGAATTCACTGGTGACAGAACGAGGAGTAGTGGCAGAACCCGAAGGATAGATCTAAAAAAGACTGGATTACAATAACATTAGTAAATTAAGTGCTGTGTTAACAAATTCCGTAATCTCTTAGAACAGTTTAAAGGGGACGTTTATACAAGCAAATGGCTTATACCCTGAGGGAAAGATTCTGCTCCAGATTCTGCCTGGATGTCTAAATTCCCTCCCACTGAAGTGATTTAGGCAGTGTGGTTTGAGATCCTTCAGCTATGTGGCTGGCCAACCGCATCATATCTGCTTGGGTTAAACTTCTCTCCGGTCTTCACTGAAAGCTCTGATGAGGTCACATCACTGACCACAACATGGACCTTAACCATCCAGCACAAATGTAGGCTGGTCAAATAGGTGTACATGTCCAAGTATAGCTTAATTACTGATTTTTTCATATGATGAATTCTACAAGCACTCAACATCTGTCATTGTATGTTTAAGCACATTTTCAGGCTGCCCAGATAGAAATCCATCCTAGTGGACACAGTGTGAGATAAGGTAGCAGTGTATCCTTCTCTGCAAGTTTTTTGCAGCCTTTTGGACTAAGTCTCACTGTTCCTCAGTTTCTCCCCTCAACATACCACTGGGTTTCTGGCCTTGGGTGATATCCAGGAAATTTGAACTCTGCAAGAATAGGCAGTGAGAGAAAGGACCAAAATACCTGGTCAGCTCCAATGGACCAAAACCCATTTGGTCCACCCAAAAAGGCTGACAGGGCAACTGGAGGCTGCAGGTGAGCAGCTTGATCCTGGGAAGGAGGAAAAATGCATACAGGACAACACAGGATTAGGAAGCTAGCTAATAGCTGGGCACTGCCTACAGCTAGACTGAATAGGATGGTACTTACAAGGGAGGTTGTAAAAAAAGAAAGAATAAATGAATAAAACAGAGCTAGAAATTTAGGTTGGGAGATTATCAAAGATCACAGCATACCCTCACAGTAATATGAGCTGTTTGTATCCATCTCTCCTACTTGGTAAAAACAACAGCCAACACGGAGCAACTGGCAGATAGCACAGCAGTAGGGATGCCCTGACCTGACTGCTTCTCTGCTTTCTTCCTCCCTGGCAAGGATGGGAACACTGGGCAGCACCAAGTGCAACACTCAAAATCTCCAGACTTGGGTATCGCCAGTGAATCCCAGAGAGAAATACTGAATAACTGTAGAACACTAGAGATGAAAGTAAAACACTGAATATTTTTTTAAAATACAGATTCTGGTTGTATCTCTTCAAAGTAGAAAGCAATTAAATATGATCATAATCTTTACAGAGACACCTAACTTCTATCATGCAAGAACCAGAGTCATAGAATCACAGAATTGTGGAATCATGGTATGGCTTGGGTTAGAAGGTACCTTTAAGATCATCCAATTCCAAACATGTGCTGTGGGTAGGATTGTCACCCACCAGATCAGGCTACCCAAAGCCCCATCCAACCTGGCCTTGAACCCCTTCAGGGATGAAGCATCCACATCTTCTCTGGGCAGCCCGTGCCAGTGCTCCACCAGCCATGCCATGCTTTCCTGCTGTTCAAAGATATAAACTCCCTCACAGTTCATTCCATCCCCACAACATGCTGCTGCTTCAAACCAAAATGTATGTCACTCTTCCTGCCTACCAAAATCTTTTCTTCTAATTTATTATTTGTGAACATGCCACAGCATGTGCACACCTCTGTTCTAGAAACCAAAGAGAAACATTTTCACCTCTACACAGTGAATTCAAATTTTTGCTCTAGTGGAAATCTGCCTGCCAATTTTGCAAGGGAAAACCAAATTATTTAACCTTTTCATAATGATCTGCAATGGTCGATGAGTATCTAAGAAAGATCTAGCCTGAAGAGTTCTGATCCTAATGGATCCTACAAGCAGGAAACATAAAAAATTGACTGTGCAAGGCAGATATGTCTCCAGATGAACATCTGACTTCCACAGGGCTCAATCTTTGCATATATATATATGCTAGCTAATCTTAGAGAAGTACCATTGTTTATGTCTGGGATTTCTAGGACTTTCATATTAAAAATTTGTTTGCACAAACATGCTAAAAGTCAATTATAGGACAATGTTGTTTCAGCATACCTCATGATTCCAGCACAAAAAAGAAAAGCACCTGTAATACTTACAAATATCAGGTGCAAAGAACTTGGTTATGTTACTTCAAAAATACTTTTCAAAGGACACAAAAAATCTTCTGAATAATGATAATAATAATAATTAAAAAAAAAAAAAAAAACAACAAAGTAACTGATTCCATTACTTCTAAAACTTGGTTTGTCCAGCAGCAAGTGGAGATTCAGGTGAAAACTGCAAAGTCACTTTATTCCTTTGGCTTTACTTTTTTCTGTGTTGGACAGATGGTGAACCACTTACATGAGATTCACAGAATCACAAAATTGGAAGGACTCTTAATGTCATCTGGTCCAACTCCCCTACAATGGACAGGGACATCTACAGCTTGAACAGGATGCTCAGAACCCCGTCCAGACTAACACTGAACATCACCAGGGATGGGGCACACACCACCTCTCTGGGCAACCTGTTCTAATGCCTCACGACCCTGATGGTAAATATATCCTTATATCCTTCCTTATATCCAACCTAAATCTCCCTTCTTTTTGTTTGAAACCATTTCCTCTTCTCCTGACACCACGGACCCTGCTTAAGAGTCTGTCCCCTTATTTCCTATAGTCCCCCTTTAGATACTGAAAGGGTACTGAAATCGCAGCAGGTAATGCTGAAATGGATGCTGCACAGCTGCAAGGTCCCTGGACAGCAGGACCCCAATGCAAACAGTTCAGCCATTCCTACACAAATCCTCTGGAAGCTGCTACACAAGTGTCTTAAAATATCCCAGGGGCTTTGGACTGTTAGGTGACTTGCCAAGCAGCAGAAATGGCAGTAGCCCTACAATTACAGTATTTCAGAAGAGGGGAAGCTTGTATTGCTGGGAATAACCATCCTTTCAGTAAACTTCCCAAAAGCTCCTTAGTCGGAAAACCCCACGAAATTCTCCGAGGCAAGCCAGGAAAAGCCAGCATTCCAGCATTTCGAAATGTCAAAAAGCCCCTCTCTTTTTCTTTTCTCCCAAAATCCCCTCAATGCACGCAGCAGGGCAGCGTCCTACCAGGCACGTCCGCGGCTCCCTCCCGCGGGGCCCCTCGGCTCCGCTCTGCCCCTCTGCCCCGCTCCGCGGCGCGACCCCGGCTGCATTGCTCGGTGGCTGCTCGGGCGGGGCGGATCGCAGGTGCCCGCTCCGCTCCGCGCGGCTCTGCCCTCCCGCCGCCCGCCCCGCCGCTTCCCGGTAGCGGCCGCTGTGGGAAAGCGGGAGCTTTTATTTTCGGGTTAAGGGAAAAATAGAAAAGAAAGAAAAAGTAAAAGTGGGAATTCCCCCGCTCGCCACCGCGGGGATAAAAGGGCACCGGGCGGCATCGCAGGAAGAGAAACGACGGGAACGGCAGCGTGAAGCGGAGCGGCGGAGCCCGGCTGGGCGCAGGTGGTGCGGTGCGGTGCGGTGCTGTGCGGTGCGGTGCGTTGCGTTGCGGTGCTGTGCGGCGCGCTCCTTACCATGGGACATTGTCCGCGGGGGGAGGTGGCAGGGAGCGGCGGCGGCCCGGCGGTCATGGTGGCGGCTCCGTCTCGCCCATGGTGCGCGGAGCCCGCGGAGCTGGGGCGAGCGGAGCGGCGGCCGGACGGGCTCAGCGGGCCCCCGACGCCCGCCTGCAGGGGTTGGGCGCGGCGCTGTCAGAGCCGGCTGCGGCGCGGCCCCGCTCCGCCGTGCCCATGGGGCTTCCGCCGGCCGCCAGGTACTTTCGCTTTCTGCTCCGCGGCCGCCGCCGGGTTCCCCGCAGCGCCGCCGGGCTCCGCGGCCTCAGCGCGGCGAGGCGGGAGGCTGGCGGGCCGCCAGGGGAGGAGGCATCCCCGCTCCGCCACGGGGCCAGGAACAGAACGGAGTGCCGCGGAAGGACGGAGCGGGCGGACAGCGGCCCGTCGAGGCTCACTGGAGCGGGGGTTACATAGGGCCCCGGTTACACGCCCAGCGCCGGGTGCGCGGCCAGGGAAGGAAGGATGGACCTTGGCAGTGCGTGTGGAAAGAGCCGCTCATTCGCGGGGAGGAAATCCTGGAGGGGGTGAAAAAAAAAAAAGAAAAAAAAAGGCAAATAGCGATGTCGCGGAGTGGCTGATGCGTGGTGGGGCTGCAGAGCGCTGTCCACGGGTGCGGCGAAGAGGCGGGGCTGCCCCGGCGCTCCGGCCCAGGTCCGGGCAGGCAGGGCGGCCGCTGTCGGAGGAGAACGAAGCGATGGCTTCACCCGAACTGCCCGAACTGTTGTTCCACACGACGTGTGAGAAATCCGGAAGGGTTAAGTGGAAGCTCTGAATGGCAGAGGAAAGCGTAGCGTAGAAGCAGTTCGTGTTCTAACAGGCGCGGCTGTAGCTTGGGTTTGTGCTCGGTAAATTCAGAATGCAAAAATTGATGCTTCACTGCAAGTGGAAAGGCTTGGAATAAAATAGGACGTGAAATGTCTTTGTCGAGTCCTCTCCCCACTTCCTCCCACCCCGCATACATTTTCCAACTCCCAGAGCCTTCTCACATGACTGCTTACCTGAATAAGGCAGGAGCTGCCAGGGTGTGACCATAAGGAACAACAAGGAGGACTTGGCTAAGTTGTGCACTGCTCAGAATGGTTTCCACCGAGTCTCTCTGGAACTGTGCCACTTTATTCAGGCACCCGTGCCTCGGCGGTACTTGGCACTTTACCTGCAGGGGACTTGTCTCTGCTTTGGTTTGGGTGTACATTTCTCACTGGGATTTCTTTGGAAAGCATTTTAATTCTTGTATTATAACAAGAACCAAGAATGAGGATGTTTTTCCTCCTGTTCAGCTTTGAGCAATTTGACTTTAGTAACAGTGGCTCATCACTAAGGCACTGTTTGTGTGCAGTGATCAATACCAACAGAGCTCCAGACAGACTGCCAGATCCTGTCATTGCTTGTTCCCTTCATATATGCTAGGCTGTATTTAGCAGGTGGCTCGGATTTTGAATTTGAAAGAGGATTTTGTCACCCTAATAAGTACCTGATTGAATTCTTAAATGTTTCTTCAGCTGTACCTTTTCTTTATTATATTATTTATTGTCTTCCCTCTTCTACCAAATGCTGTATGAAGATATCTCTCTGTGCACATTTAAAACTCGCTGTGGAGTATAAAGCCCGAATCACACAAGAACACAAGATCAGCTTTCCTTCCAAGCACGTAGTCCTGTTTTCTTATGGCAATACATGTGTGCTCACAAAATGAAGTCTTCTGTGCAGATGCACAGTAAATCGTCAGGTTGGAAAACACATGGAAAGACATCCTTAGCTTAGGTTGAACCCTGAGTTGGTTTGGTTACATTGGTTTTCCAGCTGTCTGAAATGCCAGGCAGTCTGATCATCGTTCCCATGTCAATTTTCAAAAAACCTGGTTGTGATTCATGGAACAAATCAGCGTGGCAGCACTGCATCTTATTGGGATCACTAAGATCAAGGCTCTGAGAGTTGATGAGGGAGTGTAGAATCGGTTCTGTTCTGTGGTAGGGACAGAATCCTTGCTGTTGTGTAAGGAGATTGAGAGTCTGCGCGCTGAACAGATGTGGAACTTTTCCTTTAGTAAAAATGACAAATTTTGAGCAATGTGATCTGTTCTTTGGTCCTAATCACATCTTTAGTTCCAAATGAATCCTTGTTCTGTGACCTAAACCTGGATTGGAGCACACACTTATGATATAGATGTTATATGATGTATTCATCTGCGGGGAGTGCTTAAATATTTTATGTTGGACTGTAACTTTTATGCCTTTTTAAAAAAATATTTTGAATCGTTCCATACCTTTTGTTTCCATTTGTGATAAAGATTTTTCTCAAAAAAGATTATCTTTAAAAAGACCGAATGCAAACCTTCAGAAGAATATGACCCACAGTTGCTTTTTCTTTTTAAGAATGAACAGATACCTCCCAGTTGCAATTTAAGCAAAGCATTTGATATTGACTATATTAATATTGTCTTAATAGCCAGTTTTAATCAAGAACTCACACAAAGATTCTTGAAGGTCTGCTATAAAAGTTTCCTTGCCCTGAAACCCAGTCTATATGACTGACACCAGCCTGCCCATCCTGCACGGTGCCAGGCTGTAGCGAGCAGCCCCTGTGCGGCAGAACGGAGCTGTGGCTGTGGCTGAGGCTTGGGAAGGGCAGTGGCAATGAAAGCCTCCTGTTGGATTTCTCAGGTGTTAAATGTCCCACCTCTTTTTAACAGAGCCGTTCATGGAGCTGTCTTGATACAGATTTGCTGCCTTTGCTCCATAAATAATTTGACTGAGTTAGATTACAAGCAAGTGGCTTCTGGAAAGAAGCAGCTTTATGCAAGGCATTAGCACAGATGTATGCAGGTTTTCCTTTTACTTAGTATTCAGGAATAACTTTTAAAACCGTAAAAGAAAACACTTGAAATTGCACAGCTGAGACCTGAAAGGCATTGGTGATTTTATCTGTCCAAGAATGAACACACTCTGTGTACTAAGCAGAACTGTGCAGCAGTTTCTCTAAGCATTTAATTTAATGATCTAATTGCCTCCTGACTTGTTAAAATCTGCTTCTTGGAAGAACAGCTATTTCACACATTAATATCCACCAGAATGCCAATATGCCAATATTCCTGGGTAGGTCCATGATTGCAAAGCACATGATTTCTTGTTAAGATACAATTGTCAGAAAAATAAATAGGCATATTTCTGGGAATCTTGCTGTCTTGCTGCAGCTGTTGTTTGTCGGTTTGAGATCTTTTGCTCATGACTTCAGATTTCACATCAGGTTGCTTGCAGACCCTCATAACCATTAGTGAATTATTTTATTACTGAAAGTAATAAATAATAAATAAAGTAAAAATAAAGAAAGTAAAATAAAGAAAGTAATAAGTAATAAATAAATAAATAATAAAGTTAATTGAAAAATTAAAAAAAAGAAAAAAGAGATTTTATTTTAGAACAAAAGGTAAATGCTGTAGTTGTCACGCATGGTGCAATTCAGGAAAGCACGGTCACTTTTGTGAAAGTTTATTTTAAGAATGAATCTTCCTGGTACCTCAATTGTCCTCATCTAATTGAGGAGGATGAGGACAAGCAGAGACATGTTCCGTCCTACTCACACTCTCCAAACAACACCAAACCACAAAAGGATCCCAGCCAAACTGCCATTTGGGGTTAAGTTTGTTGTACACACAAAGCTTTCCCTGGTTTTCAGGTTTGGGAAGCTCTTATCTTCTGTTATACTTAAGCAAGAAGAAGCAATCTAACTTTGTTGCACCAGAACACGCATTTCGTTGAATTAGAGTTGTTGCTTTTTCTGCACAGATCACTGTCATAGGAGCCTGTGCTGGAAGAACAACTGAAATGGCTGACATGCTGCTTTAATGCAGAGTTGTATCATACATTTGTTTAGCTGCAAGGTGTCTGCCTCTTTGGTTGTTTTTTTTTTTGTTAGTTCATTTTTTTAGGGGATGAGAATTTAAAGTAATTTTATCAATGGAAGCTAGAAAAGAAAAGAAAATATTCCTGGAAAACTTAAGATAGGGATTGGGAAAGTTACGGGAATTTTTTGTTAAACTGTGAAAAACCTTATTTCTTCAATAGAAAGCAGTAATTTATTTTTTTTTTTAATTGTGTGGGACAAGTGGATGACTAGAGAAACTTACAGCACCAAGGACAAGGTGATAACTGAGGGGGTGTTGATAACACCCCAGTGGGATGGGGAAGTTTCCTGAGCACATCACTGCAAAGGCTCAAGAGACTGTATGTGAAGGGCAGTGCCAGTGGGAAGAGAGTGCTAGCTGCTGCCTGCCTGGGTACTGCCACCCAGCTGCAGAACTACAGCTGAACCCATCTGGGCACCAGGCAGGCGAAGGGGTTACTGGTGCCCCTGCACACTGCAAGCCAGGCTGTTGGTATCCTCACCCCACATGCAAGAGATGCCCTGAAATCCCAGGCCCGTTTGCCTGCCAGGGCTAGAGTCAATGGCTTCAAGTCGGTGCTGGGTTTTGGGCTCTCTTGGCCTCTCTGCTAATGCTCTTCCCTTTGCTCTTGAGTTACCGCAGATGTTATTTGAAGGCAGGTAGGAAGAGATACAGTAGGAAGAAGGAACCGATGACCTAACATCCTGCTTTTACGTTTTTTATGATAGTTCGGTTGGAAGGATGCTACAAAGACCAGAGAATCACAGAATCATAGGCGTCGGAAGGGACCTCTGGTGATCAGCTAGTTCACCATCCTGCTAGAGCAGAATCCCTACAGGAGGTGATCAAGTTCAACTCCTGACCAATTCACGGCTTGCTGAAATCTAATGCATGCTATTGAGGGCATTATCCAAATGCCTCAGAAATACACTACAGAACTTCAAATGGACCATCCAGACTTTCTGTTAGTGCTCCCATTCCCTGTTCATACAGTTGTGCAACACACTCAGCAGTGGTGGCTGGTACTGGGCAGGATGTGGGCCTGCTCCCTGGGAAAGGATGTGGACCTGATCCCTAGTCAGGATGCAGACCTACTCCCCATGGCAAGATACAGACCTGTTCTCCAGGGCAAGATACAGATCTACTCCCAGCCACTGGGGCTTCTGCACGTCTACACTTGGGTATGACAGCAATCTGCACTGGCTTTGCCTGTTGGTGAGAAGCAGCTTACTCTCCACGTTACTGCTATGAAGGACTTTGGTGTAGCTGTCCTGATAATTGTGTGGAAGTATCTGAGCTGCTTGATGGCTGTTTGGTGCCTTACAGAAGAGTGCTGTGAATGGGAGAAAAAAATACCACAGCCAAGATAAGTGATGGAAAGCCTGCTTCTGCTTCAACAAGCCATAAAAGAAAGAAGAAACTGGGGTAAGGGTTCTGTTTTAATGCTTTTTCTCTTGCTTTTCCTACTTAAAAAATACAGCTTTGTAGTATGTTTCGTCTTTTTATTTATTTTTTTTAACTTTTTTTTTTTCCTTTATGTTTCTTTTTGATACTAGCACTGTCTTTACAGACATACACCCATACTGTAATTACAAAAATTTCATTGCATTTTACAGTCATGGGAGTTCATGTGGTTTGGGGTACATGGTTTTAGGAATGTTTTCCTAAAATTATAATCAATTATATTTTGCTGTTTTTGAAAACTCACATTTCTTCTAGTGAGTTCTCTTTTTTTACAGTGTTACATATATGCATACGAAAGGACATTTATTTCCCTTCCCTTCCCTTCCCTTCCCTTCCCTTCCCTTCCCTTCCCTTCCCTTCCCTTCCCTTCCCTTCCCTTCCCTTCCCTTCCCTTCCCTTCCCTTCCCTTCCCTTCCCTTCCCTTCCCTTCCCTTCCCTTCCCTTCCCTTCCCTTTCCTTCTTTAGAAAATGTGTTTCAGTGAGTAGTAGCCAGAATAACCTGTCCTCTCTTTTTTTTTTTTCTTTTTCTTTCCTCTTTTTTTTTTTTTTTTTCTACATTATTTTTTATTATTTCTTTCGAAGTCGAGAGCTTCACCCTGGGACAGGACAGCAATTTTAGTGGAGCCACTGCAAGGGGGTCAAATTATATATCTTCAATTTTCTAGAGCAAGTCCCTTCCCTAGGAAATAATTTCAGACATGAACTGTTGGGAATATATTGCAAGACACTCATGATTATTTTCTTGCTTTTGATGTAAATTAATGAATGCATGTATGTGTCCCATTACAAGCATTCTGGTAAATTCTTTTTCCAGTGGAAAGGTTTATTACTACTACTATTATTATTATTAGCATTATTATCTACAATCCCTTCTCAGAATAATGCTAATCTTATGAAAGAATATTTGGTGTCTTTAACACATAACAAAAAGCTAACTTCTAACTTCTTACCAGCTTCCCCGAAGGTGAACATAAATTCAAACATCATTACTTAAACCTGCTGAAATCCATGCACTTTAAAAAATTCTTACAAAATGCTTTCTTTTCTACCAAGCAGTTTCAGTTGTTGCATGATAGCAAATGATCTTGAAGAAGAAGTCTGTTCAGCACATTGATATAAAAAATCAGTTGATAAAAATACAGTTTTAAAAAGAGAGATTACTTATTGTAATTGTGGACTTTGAGGGCCTAACCCTACAGACAAGTGCCTGTTTAGCTCCCATTTCAGCACGCCTAACTTACGTGCTTACTCCTAAGCAAAAGTTTTCTTTGGAGGTTTGAAACTTAAATGAAAATGAAACATCTGCTTTTTGAAGCTTAGGGTATTTCTGACTTTTTTGTATATGTTTGCAATTACCCTAAAATACTTGCAAACACGTATCTTTTTTCAAGATCCTGTTTACAAATGTGCCTTTCTTCATCATTTGAAGTGAACGGTAAGTAGATATGTGCATAGAATGGGAGAGGAGTGTAAAGGAGGACACAAAATTACAGTCAAAATATGGTGTGCTAATGGAATATATCCAACAAACACCACTTGGGAAGTCAAAGCCAGTGAGTCATGCTGAGACTTGAATATCTTTTTTATGAGAGAATGTGTATCTAAATATCATCTGAAGATGTACCAAATGTATTTCGTAGTAAGAACAGTGTACAGATACTTCAGGGTTTGCTTCATTTGTAGCATTTTAAAGGGCTCACTCTGAAACAGCAAATTGGTAAGTGGGTGCTTGTTCCCTGGTGTTTGAGACCTTCAGAGTCTGATTTATCTTCTTTTCTTCAGCAAAGGCGGCAACACCACAGGTTCAAAGATATCAGTTGACCTGAAATGAAAGTACATAAAGAGCTTTACATTCTAACCTACAAAAATGGACCAAATTCTGATCTAAACTCTAAAACTAAAAGGAAGAAAATATTGATCAATAGTATCTTTTTAATTCTTTTATATGACATTCAGAAATTTTTCTCAAAATATTCAACAGTTACATTTATTGAAATGATGGTGAATGACCAAAGCTAAACATAATCTCCCACACTCTCTCTCTTTTCCTCACATCACAATTACTCCGCTTTTAATAAGACATTGTGATTTTGAAAACATTCTAGAATGCGCCACTTTTCTTTGAACATTTGCGTCACTTTGAAGGTGGAGTCCTATGAAACAGGTCTCCTGAATCAGCAGTTTTTAGACTCATCTTTTCTGGAAATATTGAAGAAGTATGTATACTCTGCACTTCTTATCTCTAATCTTTGGTTTATTTCTTTGATTCTTGGGCTGTACAGTTTTGGGAGGAAAAGTATCTTGCTATTAATTCACATCCATTTCTCAGAAGAAAAAAAAAAGTTCCATTTTGCTGCTGGTTTTGTTTGATGCATTTTTATATGGGTCATGAGAAGTTGTGGCATTTTCAATGTGTGTCACACCCAGTGTTGTCTCTTATCTTGTCTGAAGCAGATGATGCAATTTGGTGCCTTTTCCTGTGTATGGCTAAGATTAGGGCATGACAGTGGGCAAGCCAGCAAAAATGTGTCTAGGTAAGACCACGTGACTGTGACACTGAAAAGGGATAAGTGAGTGTTGCAGTGAGGTGAATGTGGGCCTCTGGGAGTTTTTTTCCCTTGCTAGCAACCTGTGCTCCTAAATCAAGAGTGGCTTTAGAAGGCTGTAGTGCTAATGCATCTTATTCCATGGAGGCAGAGTCCTGTAGATATCATGACATCATATGCAACATCTTCAGTTGCTTCTGAGGAGCACCCTAAAAGCGATCCCAGTTTCCCAGTGTTTTCATATTTCTGATAAGAGCCATTAAGGCATTGCTTTTACTTCTAGAGCTCCCATACTTGAGGTACTCCTGGACAAAACACCAGTCTCAAATCTATATTGCAACCTTCTTGTAATTATTCTGCTGCAACTCAGGATTCCTTGTCCCCTGGTCTACTTAAAAGGGTCTTGTCTGAATGTAAACATTACATAGTGTTGCTCATAACATAGCATGCGAACCTGGGCAAAAACTTTTCCCCAGTTCTTTATGGGTATTTGTTGGCAAATTAAAACCTCAAGCATCTGCTTTCATGGATTTGGAGTGGAGCAGAAGCTTGAACTTCAGTCTCTTCCATTTCCCTGGCATGTAAACCTCTCCTCCTCTCTAGGAAGAGCCTGTAGGCTATAATCAGATCTCACCATTATTATTAGTTTGGCAATCAGAAGATATGGGACCTTCCTGGGTTTGTGTTTTCAAGAAAAGAGGCTGTGGGGAAGTGAGTCAGAAGACATGATACAAAGAAAGTACCATGTGTTCTACCTCTGGCAAAAGAGAACTCTTTACTGATTCAAGCTGAATAAACCAGCTGCCTTGTCTCTTAGCACTTGGAAATGGTAAACAGAGAATGTACCCATAAAAGTAGCGCTCAGCATCTCAGTGTGGTATGAAAAACTCCACTGATCCACAGCAGTCTACAACTTGAAACACCTTGTATGCAGTACGCCTCTCCCACTGCTTCCTCACAGCTGAGTAAAACAGCAGAAACAAGCCCTGTGCTACATGACCAAGTTAGAAAATAGTTTAAAAGCCAAGTGCGTTGCACAGAGCAGCATTTTAGCTGATAGAACAGTACCTGTATGACTGCACAGCTAACACTGTGTATGAAGTTTGGTCTGAAATATCAGGAGTGTTTTTTTCTCTTGAAAGTGAACTACATAAAGAACAACATGAAGATATAATGGTGTATGGGTGCTGCTGTCATCATGACCAGCTGGACTCTGTCTCTCAAGGACTAATCTCTCTTGGATTAGGTTCTTCGTGGACTTTGGCATGTGAGTGTACTAGCAGTCTACTACATAGAAAGTGCTTTTCAGCTGACAGATTTTCAGCTTCACATCATTTGTTGAAAGATTATTAGTCTCTTCCTTTCTGTCTTTTGTATTTATGCTGGTTGGAGTACACATTGCTCATGTAACAAGCTTCCTATAATCATCTAAAAGCCACCTGAGAAAGGTCCTGAAATGATTTGAAAGCAGATGCTGGAATCAAGCTTACATTGCTGGAAACCTGCCTCTCTAACTCTGTCATAAGTTGTCTTACTAGCCATTGATCTGCAAAGAATTCATCCATTGCCAATGAACTCTACATCCTCCAGTGAACTTTCAAGCTCATCTAAAACCAAGATGGAAGTCTAATACTCAGGCAGTCCAGAAATTGAGGGGAAACAATCTTCTTCTGATCACTGCCCAGGAGATATTTCCAACACAAGCTTCAGAAAGTGATCAAAGTGTTTTCCTTGGGACATCAAATAAAGAAGTGAATGAGATGCCTTCAGTGGGATACCTATCTCCCAGATTCTCCAGGTGCTGAGGAAATCTGTTCTGCCTTTTCTAGAGCCACTTCAAAAAGCTTCAAGCTTTCAAGGTTGGAGTTGCTAGAGCAAGGCTTGGATGAATGCCTTACAAAAAACCATGGAATATGCAAAGACAGAAGAGGACTGGAGCAATTGGAAAACAAACCTATTAGTTAATCAGGGATTCCTTCCATCCCTCCTCAGCCCTGCACCCAGGGCGTGCACTAGGGATGCATGTCCTGATATGCCAGCCTGAGAGTGCTGAGAATAAAGCAGTCTCACAGGTGGCTGGTGTTCACAGGAAACTGGGGTGTGACAGCCTTCCCATCCCAGTTTTCAGGATCTCTGGGCACAGAGCTACAACACTGAAAATAATAAATAGGTCTGATTTATATTTCCAGGAAACCAACCAACCAAAAAAACCCAAACCAACAAACAACCAAAAAAAACCAAAAAACAAAACAAAAAAAAAAACACAAAACAAAACAAAAACAAAAAAAAAAACCAAACCCCAAAGCCAAAAAAACCAACAAATAGCAAAAAAAGTGAAGCAGGTCTTACTATCCCTGTACAGCATCAATTAAGAAGAGGCTGGAGATCATCTTTGAATGGACTTTTCCTTTGCTC